TCTAATTCAATGTTGAAAATTGAATTAGAAAATGTGTTTTTGATGGTTCCCATATGTAATGTCATTGCACGAAAAATCCATCTTCAAGGATATCTCCAAAGTGGAGACCTTGTCGGAAAAAGCTAGTTTGGTAAAAGATAGAGCATTCATTCTTGCGCCATTCGATCGATCTTTATTCGTACTAAAAAGTACAACTCGTTTTTTTGAAGGTCCTCTCCATTGCTGAGAAATTTCACTTTTGCTAAAACAGGTGCGAAAAAATCGCAATTCTGCCCATAATTCTCAATTTTCTCCATCAGAATTCCCTTTTTATGCAATAAAAGTATCATATTCAGAGTCAGCGTCAAAAACTGTGTCGAATGATATATTTTCATTTTTTGGTGAAAATCTCAGTAAATTTCGATTTTCAGACAGTTCGAAGAAATATGGAGAATAAAATCATTTTAGAAATATTATCGATTAAGTTTTTGTATAGTAATTTGTTTTTAGTAATCAGTCCATTCTTAGAAGTGAATATTTGATGAATTTAATTTATTTCAAAATATGTCCATCTATTGGCCAACTTATTCGTGGACTATTATTCATAAATTTGATAATATTACTTTATTATATGATTAAAAAAGATTTGTATTCGAATAATCTTCACTATTCGTGTAGAACATTCCATCAAGATACTACTACTATACCACAATCATTATGCAATACGTTTAGCACTTTAAGAGGAAAAAACCAAAAAGTATTCTCATTATCTATTTTTGGACCAGAAGAAGACTTGATATTTACACGTGAACGTAGTCTTCAATATTTAAACTTATTTTTCATTGAAGTGCAACAACTATTTCCCGATTGGTTTGTACGCGTCTACTATCATGACGATAGTATATTGACAGAAAAAGATATTGTTCATTTCGAATGTTTATACTGGTACGTTGATTTTTGTAATATCAAGAGAATACTGCCTCTTGTATCAAAATACGTATCCGGTAGAATATGGCGTTTTATTCCAATTGATGATACGTTCGTTGATATTGTCAATATTCGAGATTTAGATTCACCAGTAACAAAACGTGAAAAATTAGCTGTTAATTATTGGTTAAATAATACGACAAAATCATTTCATGTAATGCGTGATCATCCAAAGCATATGTCACCAATACAAGCGGGTATGTGGGGAGTAAGACGAACAAAAGGAAATAATAGATCTCGCATATTGGAAAAAGTTAATAATTTAACATTAATGAAAAAATATAAAAGTATAGCAGGTGATGAAGAGTTTTTGGCTGATCATTTATGGCCACATATACGTCAAAATGAAACAATTGTTCATGATAGTTTTCATTGTTTTAAGTATGGTGAAAAAGTATGTTCTCCATTTCCAACGGTACGGGCACGTGAAAAAGATAACTGTTTTGTTGGATGTTGGAGACCGTGTTGTGTAAATGAAAATTGTTAATAGACAGGCTTTTCATCTGCTAACCCCTTTTTATATCCAGAATAGAAGGTCAGCGTCTTCTATTAGGGTTTTGTATAGCATTTTTTTTCGAAGAAATCATCCTAGTGGCTCATATGGAAGCGATTCTGGAAAATTTTCACTTCAAACTGACCTTCTACTCTGGGCGAGGGTTTAGCATAGCCGTTTAACGAGCCTGGTATGTTTACTGTATGAGGTATGTTTTCAGAAAAAGAGATAGAAAAAAGTCGATTTCATGCATTTAGTTTTCCACTATTAATTTGTAGGCTATGCACCACTGTTAAACACTTCTTTTTAAACTGAAAAGTCATTGATGGATTACGATGAAAATCGTTGATAATGGGAAATATCGTTATATCACGATAGTTTATTGTGGTACGAAGCGATGTTTCGATTAATCACTATTCATCGATGATTATTCTAATAGTTGTCTGCATTACGACAGACAGTCGAGTTATTGACTCGCGCAATAAATATTAGAATAATCTGGATAAACTATCTGCCAAGATAAAATGAAAGAAATGGTGGTGGTCATACTTCGAAGTGTGTTGAATTATTCCGATATTTGATTACTTTCCAATATATAAAACATTTTTTCTGCTCATATATATCCTCTATCATCACACTGATGGTTCCATTAAATTCGATGTAAAGCATCATGACTGTATCCGAAAAAGAATGAGTTATGGTTTTATTAAAATAAGTATTTAATCCCGATATTTTTGAATGTTTATCACGAAGTTCTGAAAATAGTTTTTGTCTTTGAGTCGACCACCTGCGACTATCTTGAAATAAAGATAGTTTCAGGATCAACGTTTTACCCGCAAAAAGAAATGTGTTTTTGTTTTAATAAATGCATGTGTTTTTTTTAACAGTTTAGATTTGTGCCCGGTTTGTTTATGAGAAGATTCAATCGTATAGCTAGATAAAAAAGTGAGAGATATCGCTAGTAACATGTGGTCTATATGCTCATGCATAAGATGCCACATAGTTTTCAGTTTATGATACAGTTTGAAGCTCTTTTTTATCAATTCGATTCATGTATCATACATAAATTCGAAGTACTCGCTGTGGCTCGTTCTAAAGAAACTTTCAACTAGAAACGTTGTGTTTGACACTGAACCATAGTTTGGAGAGAGTAGAATTTTTCAGAAGAATTATCTAATAAAAACGACCTGAAATCATACATAGAACAAAAAGAAAAAAACATTTCAACAAATGAACTGACAACATAGCATTAGAATCGTGTTTAGACTAGAAAATATCCCGAATATGATTTTCAAATTCATGTTATGATTATGATAAAATTGGCGTTGCTACGTCCAGTGAGCATAAGCATGATAATCGCGCCTGTACATCTCGTGCTCTGTGAGAAGCTCATCTATCATTAGCTGGAATCTTTCTCATAATCATAATCGGTACCTATCTAAAACAATCTTCTTAATCTAATAATACCGAAGACATTTCTGACAGATGTCCACAAAAAAAGTGTTTTCTATTAACGGAAGCAGTCAAAAATTCACCGGTAACTGGATTGGAAAGAAAATTTAGTACAGTATTCTTCAATCTACCTGTAAAAAACAATACGGAACTAAGGTAAGGCACACAGAAAGCAGACTTTCCATGAAATTTATTTTCGATCTTTTTATACATCATTCGATAGAGGGTATCGAACTGATCATGAATATGTGCTCTTCGTTTTCTTTTGGAGACATTTTAACAAGGGGGAAAAAGCACTTTTTTTAGTATAGCACCTAAGCATCTTTTCGGCACCTCTTGGCACCTCTTGGCACCTTTTCGCACCTCTTGGCACCTTTTCGGCACCTAAAACTACCGATTTAGTCTATCAGTAACGTTCTCGCTTTGTAAAATTCAAGATGGCGGATGGGTAATGGGATCGAATCCGACCATGAAC